GAGACCCTTTTGTTCCTCCGGGGAAAGAAAGTGGGGTGGGCAGCATCTACAAGTGGTTGTACTAGAAGTGGGAAGGGGCGGGGGGCATGAGCAAGAGAGGCGCCTTGCAAGACGCAGGTGGATGGCGCGCCTGGAAGTGACAGCCACCAGGCCGGGATTACCTGTTAGTGGGAGTCGTGGGCTCCGAGTCGTCGAAGGAAGGCGCAAAGAGGGAAGAAGGGTCCACCGCTGCCTCTTCCTCCTTACTCTGCTGCTGGTGCTGTTTCTTCTTCAAGCGCCAGTGTCCGAAAGCCGACCGCTTCTTGCGCTCTCCGGAAACGGTGGTGGTGGTGGAGGAGCAGCTGGCGCGATGTTCCCGCCGCCCTTCTAAGCACGGCGACGGACAAGGAGAGGAAAGCGGCGTATCCTTGCCCAGGTCCGGTTCTGAGTCCTCGGACTCGCTCCTGTGGTGGAAGAGCCGCCCGAGCCTCTTGAAACCCCCTTTCTCCATGCTGAACAAGCGGAGCTGAGGGTGACTCCCGGCGTGGTGGTTGCAAACCGCCTTTGGCAAGCGGCTGAAGGATAGCCGGGGAGGAGAAGCGCTCGGTTTGCGCGGTCCGTCGGGAGACGGTTGGAGAGGAGGAGGAGGAGGAGGAGGAGGAGGGGAGAAACAAAGCGCCTCCTAAAGGTAGCAGAAGCTGCTCCTAACCGCGGCTCGGACCGCGCCCTTCCCACCTCCTTAGCTGTGCGTGTGCAAACTTTCCAGCGACAGCCATGAATTCGCCTGTCTCCGCGGGTTCCCCTCTCCGCGTTTCTTCGCGCCTATTAGCGAGTTTCATCTCTCTTTCCCGCGAATGCAACTACTATTCTCGGGTATCGGGAACCTCCCTCGTTCCCTGTTTAAAGGGCTGCCCGTTCGTTATCTTGAGGCTGCCGCTGCAACTCCCTTTCACGCGTTACCCAGGAAGGGAAAGGCTAGTCTTGATCTGAGGGTGCTGATTGTAAGGCAGCAATAAGTACTGTTGTTTCTTTCGGATGGAAACTAAATTTGCAACAGTTTGGGTCCCCCGCGGAAGGAAGGGCTGCAGGTTTCCAGAAAACGGTATGAACAAGATACATTTATAAATTTAAGGTAGTCCGCGATAGGCTGTTTTCTTCGCTGTAAAACGCCCACCCCTTCTCCATTAATGTGGCAATCCTCTTCTCGTCACTGAATTTAGATTTATTTGTGAGAATACAGGCGTGTAGTAGCTTGCGCTCTAAACCTGATTCTAAACTTTGCATATCGGAAAAATATATACATAGGAAAAGAGTAAAAGCAAAGCAAAGAGCGCAGTGGAATGGGATGTACTGTAACTAGCCTATTCGTGAATTGTAGGCACATTTTTAAAATAGTAACTTTTCTTTCCCAGATAATAAACCTGATACTCTAGGAATTATTCTCATCACCCTTCGATTTATGATAGAAAAAAGTTCCTCTTTTGGCCCCCAAAATGCAAAAATTTAAAATTATATTGTTTGATGAAAAATAACACATAAGGATGTCTTCTGTCTTTGTGGACAACAGAGGATCTTCATTATAATCAATGGTGGGGAGTACTGCAGTGCTTAAAATTAATTTGGTGGAATATGAACTGAAAAAAGCATCAAGGCTTGGCCTAACTGCCTATATTCTCATTCCATGCAGGTTCCAGAAACACACATCTAATATTTAATTTCCTTTGACATCCAAGCCAACTTACCGTAAAAAAAGATCATATACAAATAATAGAGTAAAAGGGAGTGGGCATGTTTGCTGCTGTCAGGCAAACCTGTGGTTTTGCTTGTTTTCCTGTCATCTATTATTTCCATTACACTTTTTCTAGCTTACTTCCACTTCCCTGAGAAAATATTTATGCATGACTTCAAAAGTTCTATTCAGCTGGATGGAATTTGCTTCCAGATGAATAGATAGACTATTACCACATTGGAACATAGGTTAAAGATACATATTTCAGGCCAGCCATTTTTATTTTAATGATTCTGGGTTTCAAACAAATTCGTATGGGAAAAGTAAGACATCAGTGGATCAGATGAACTGTACTCTCCTATTGAACAATTCCCNAGCATTCGCTGGCTGGGGAATTCTGGGAGTTGAAGTCCAGACATCTTCAAGTTGCCAAGGTTGAGAAACACTGCTATAGTGACTATGGGTAGCTAACAGCACTTAAAGACAAAAAGAATGACAAAATACAATACATAAAGTTAAAAACAAACACGATCAGTCAACAATTAAAAAATCCATCTCATGGTTTGTAAGTAATAACTCAGCAATCATGTCTAGGAACACAACCACTCCTTTAGGGCTTTGTGAAAGACCAACAGTGCTTTGGGGGGCCAATCTGATCTCTGGGGAGATCATGTTTCAAACAGCAGGTACCGTAACAGAAAAGACTTGCTTCCTAGATCCTGCAAGATGGGACTCCTTAATAACAACTATGTGAATGTATACTTAAAATGCTATGTAAGAGAATAAAAAAGAATTCTGGAAAACCAAAAGGATGGCACTCTTTAATTGATAGGACCCAGAGCAGGTCTCTTCTGCTGAATCTAATGGGATGATTAGAAGCAGTCAGGGAGAGGAATAGAATAGAATAACAGAGTTGGAAGGCACCTTGGAGGTCTTCTAGCCCAACGTCCTGCTTAAGTAGGAAACCCTGTCATTTTAGACAAATAGGTGTCCAATCTCTTCTTAAAAACTACCAGTGTTGAAGTATTCACAACTTCTGGAGGCAAATTGTTATACTGATTAATTGTTCTAACTGTCAAGAAATTTCTTATTAGGTTACTTCCATAAATAATAGGCCTTACATTAGGAGGAGCTTTATAAGTGACCACCACTATCTTCAACTACACCTGGAAGGGTATTAGTAGCCAATAAAACTTGTAGAATAGAAATGCAATGTAAATACACTGAGGGGCATTAATGGCTGCCTGCACCAGAGGTGGGTTGTTCCTGGTTCAGGCAGGTAGTTCCACCCACCCACCTGTGTGAACCAGTAGCAAAAAATAAAATAAAAATGGAAACCCATCACTGGCCTGCACTGCTAAATTTTGAATCAGCTGAAGCTTTCAGGTGCAATATGGAATATTCCATGGCTCATATCTCTTAAAATGAAGTATATACAGTATTAATTGTGATATTAATGTATAGGTGACAGTTTCAAGTAGGTTATAGAACCACTGTGGGCCATTCCCAATGCTATACATATTTATTTCTAAAGTATGAATTGCTTCACATTTGTTGCACAATGTCATAAGAGTATGTTGGGGGGACGGGGGGGGGGAGATTCAGATATTTTTCAGCAATGAACCCCACAAATATAGTACAGTTGTCTAATACACTGTGAAGTGAAATAATGCACATTTTCTAATGGCCAGAGTGTATTTATGATTGTGAATTGGAATTAGATGAAAACAAGATGCTGAATACTGCAAAGCAAAACAGGAGAAGACTGGGTTTGTCAATGACATGACACGATGGATCCTGTCGGGAAAAGATGCTCAATGATTTATGCAGTGTCTGCAGCTGTTGATTTACATGAACAAAGTTGTTATCAAATGGCAACTAGCCTGGCAACTCCATTTGTTTACTGCTTGTGAGATCTATAGTTCAGATTCTCTAATTTTTGTTTAACATCACAACTTAATAGTTTAAATAAAAAGTACAAACTTACTTATTTCCTTCCTTTCCTCCTTCCTTCCTCTGGCGTGTGAATAGCAGGGCAACTATAATAGTCATATACATTATTGGTTTTGTGAAATTATTACTTTACTATTTAAGTAACTTATTACCAGGAGAAAGATGGAGGAAGTTTAATATTTGAATCAACATTGTCAATGTTGAATTACTGATAATATGCTGATAATGCACAAAGAAAAGAATGTCTTCCTTTCATTTTAATACAATGAAAGAGCAACAAGTTCAAATAGTTTCATTTAATTTTTTTTTACTCTGGTTGCAGCCAAAATAGTCTGCTTAGCAAACACAGCCTGTATTAAAGCCCAGTCAGGTATTTCCAGAGGGAGTCAATTTCTATGTAAATTACTTGTCTTAACAGGTATTCCACTTCTGCATCTTCTGTTTTTGGGTACCTATTTATTCACAATCCAAATCTATGGACTGCAGACAATAAAGGTTGTTCTTTAACACTTTAACTAGTGAGCTGCAGCTCACTTCCTCAGATGCATAGGGTGGATAGACTAATGTAGGCTTTAACTGGGATATGGGACGGAGAAGGCAGGGGAAGACACGCTGTGTGCTCAGATGCTAGTTACAGGCAAGTAGATTACAAGTACCTTAAACAATTTTAGCATATTATATTTAACACATCATTTTAAGCACTCACAAAAGCTTATGCCTTTTAATAAAATGTGTTAGTTGAAAATGATGTTACCTAGATTTCTGATTTTTTAATGAATGGAAAGTCCCTGACCCTGGCATGCTTGTCGTTAGAAGCTCCTCATGTGCCCTGAAATACACCCATTGCCCCATTCTGCATCCTTCCTAATTAGTTTGGAGAGCCAACAAAAAAGTTTAATTAAAAGCTGAAATACAGGAATCCTGGGACTTATTAAATTAAAATGACAGTAACTCTATTTTATAAATCACAGCTCTATTTAATTATTATGCTAACTCAATTATGGAACTGGAAAGCAAAGTTCATCATGATTAATCATTTACCAATTGTGCCTTATTACAGCATGTATATGCATGCATGCACATAAACTTACACACATTATATAATATTTTGTACTTAGCGATTCAATGACTTGCTGAAACATGCAATGAACGTTATTGCATTGGACAATTCAAAATATTGCTAAATGTTGGATGTAAATAAATAATAGTTATTATAGCAGCAAATTCTCTACCTATTCAAATTCATCTTTGGTAGCATTACTTTGAATTAAGAGTAATAACATTGTTCCTAGAATGGCTTTCCACAGTCGAAGCACCTAGCATCCAAATTCTAGTGTGAATAACCTCAGAATTGTTCAGAACTTTGTATAAATTTCCCACATGATTCTTCTGCAACGTATGATTATCTTTTCATGAGTGGAATTATCCTCTAACTTTTTATGAAAAGGTATATTACACAGTTTATGAATTCACAGTAATTACTAATTTACAGCCATGCAAACTTGTTGTAACGTGCTGTTGATATGCTTTTGGAATATGGCAAGACACTGAAGAATTATATTCCAGATGACCTTTTTTCCTTGCTCAATCATGTCTGATTCTTGGAGACTGCCTGGACAAATCCCTGCAGTTTTCTCGGCAAGTGCTTTGTCATCGAATCCTGTCTTGGACTGAGTGAAAGTCACTGGCCCAAGGTTACCCAGCTGGCTTTATGTCTAAGGCTGAGCTACAAATTCACTGTTTCCTAGTTTCTAGCCTGATGCCTTTACTGTTTTTTTTAAAAAATCCCAGATTGAAATACAATCAATATTGAAAGAATATGTGCATTTTAATAGAGATACGCAAAAAGTTTCAAGATCAAAATGTTTGACCCCAAAATTTCTCATTCCAACTGCTACAGCTAAATAACTAAACTACCTAAAAACCAAAGCAGTCATTTTTTTCTGTGGAGGTAAGGAAAGTGCTGATATTTTTGACACATATTCCACATGAAACAAAGTCAAAGGAAAATATTTTTCTCATAC